AAGTAGAAATTCCAGAGCTTCCTTTGATGAGGTCCAGGACCTCCCACCGACCCAGCGGAAGTCATCATCACATCCGAGACAGGCAACAGCCCTACCCTCCAGAGATGAGGGGCCCAGCCGAGGAGGACAGGGCCCCGCGGGGTGCGGGCGCTGGAGCGGCTGCGGAGAATCCCGCCCCGGAGCGGCGCAAGTGGCCACAGGCCCGAGCCTCTGGCTGCCGCCGCCTCCGCGCCCTCCGCAGCGGCGCCCAGCTGCTCCCGCAGGCGCGGGCCCGGATCTCCGCCCCGCTACCTGATGCAACCAGCGCCGGGCAGGGAGAAGCCAGCCGCCAGCTCCAGACGGCCACCTCCAAGATCCCCTCCCTTGTTTCCAAATGGCGAAACTTAAGCTCACCACAGCTTGTGTGCACATTTTTAAAAGTGATGTAAGATTTTCTGCTACATGCCTCATAATAACCATTTTACCTAAATTCTATTTTTATTCCGCCTTATCAGTAAAAAAGAAAGAAAAAACAGGCACGGGGCTACTGAGTATCTTCTCCTGTCACAACGCTAGTAAATGGTGGAACCAGACTCCGTATTTAGATCCCCGAGGTGTATTGACAATACAATACATTCTTGTATTATATATCATCCTCCTGTGTTTATTCTGAGACTAAACACACTCATTTACTGTGGATTATGGAATATACTGTGTGGAAGAGAAGCACTCTTTGCTCTGTAAGCATTAGGTCTGTGTGTGATGACAGCACCAGAGAAGAGAGAGAGAGAGTGTGTGTAGGCATTTACAACATTCAGAAATAGGACGTCAACTGACTTCACTTGGGAAATTTTCAAGGAGGCTTGCAAGGAATTTGGGGGGAGATGGAGAAATGTATGAATCAACTTACATATGCATGAAAAGCACAGTGCCAGGCTCCTCAGAGAACTCTTGAGTTCCAGTCCCTGCCGCCCGAAATGAGATAGAAGGTACTACTTTCCACCCAGTGTCCTCATGTCCCCCAGACCTGGAGGACTCTGGGATTTGCCTGTTGTAGCTTCAAGTCCTCTCAGTGTGGAAACTTGAGACCAGACATTTCTTCACTGATCCCTGTTCTGTACTTGTATCCTTTCATTCACACCCACATAGCCTGTGCATGTGCACCAGTGCCTCCAGGGACCCTCAGCCACGTGGAGGGCAGGACCATGCTTTATTCATCTACACATCCCTACTCTCTCTCCTACAACTACACAGCACCTTACACCCTCGACGTTAAATAAGCTTGTCTTCAATTTGTGAAAGGACATGTGAGCAGATATTTAGAAGTAGAGAGCAGTTATTTGGCACAATGTTTATTATGAAAGCAATTGGTGCCACTTCCAGGAAAGACAGACAGTTGCTATTTTAATATTTCAAATCATAAAGAATTAAAAATCATAGTAGGTCAATCAAAAGTTTCTTTTTTCACCCAATTAGATCGAAATACTTAAGCAACTGGCTCTACGACACCATTGTGAGTCAGAATCTTGGGGGCTGGGGGACAAGAAGTGCAACTAAATTGCACATTCCCAGACCCAGATCCCCAGAAATCTGATTCAGTGTGCTTAGGCCTTGGAATCTGAATCCCTTCCAGTGGTTCAGAACTAGTCA